CAACTAAAGATGAACAAAGGAAAGAAGAGTTTCTCGTGGAACTACTTCAAACTGACAAGTGCAAATGAGGTCAAATGTAAGAGTTCTTTTTTCTCTCTCCCGCGGGGGGGGCGCGGGCGGGGCGCGTCGAATAATCGATTATTATTCCCAGGGCTGTCCGATTTTCGATTTTGATCATGGTCAGTTTCTGCATCCCTAAACGGTGCATACACCATGACCTCTCACCTCCTTGACGGTGCGCACCACCTCGAACTCGGCCGAGGTGTTGAAGTTGTACCCCTCTTTGCGCAGCAGCAGGCGGAGATACCGCGACACGTCTCTGCCGGCGATGTCCACCCTCATGATGGAGTGAGGGATGGCGAATCCTTCGTAGATCGGGACCACGTGGGTCACCCCGTCGCCCGAGTCCAGAACCACTCCGGTGGTCCGGCCCGTCGCATAACTGCAGGAAAAACACAAACACACACCATCAGGAGCCTGGACCACAGCTGGAGGGAGGCGGAGTGTTGGAGAGAAGGTCAAAGAGGCTCTGTGTTAAGGTTTTTACCACTGAAGACTATAACTCCCATGATGCTTCACTGCACAACCACCACTGCTGCTGCTTTTAACGGGGGTTTTTTTTACAGAGGAAAGAATGAAAATGTAAGTTATGATACACATGTTTGTTTTGGCTCATGCATTGATATGCCAGAGCTGTTTTACCACTGAAGACTACAACTCCCATGATGCAACACTCACAGGCTGAGGACGGCCTGCATGGAGATGAAGAGCGCGGGAACGTTGAAGGTCTCGAAGAAAATCTCTGCTGCTTTTTCACGATTCATACTGGGATTCAGAGGAGCCTCTGTGAGGAGGACAGGATGCTGCAGGTGGAGGAGGAGAGGAGGAGGAGTTAGCATGAGGAAGAGGAGGAGGAAGAGGAGAAGGAGGAGAAGGAGGAGGAAGAGGAGGAGATGAAGAGGAGGACCTCACCTCCTCACTGAAGGTCTGCAGCTGCTCCTTGGAGTAAACGTACTGCCAGATCCTCTCCATGTCGTTCCAGTCCTTCACGATTCCGTGCTCCATGGGGTATCGAACCGACAGAAGGCCGCGGTGCTCCTGAGGGACGCAGAGGGACGTCAGACAGCTCCACAGAGGAAGCTAAATGCATCAGCTTCATTTCTACTAAGCGAGACGTTTCCTTAGTTCCCTCACGCTTTGCCGAACTGCATTGTGGTTCGTCGCATCGCTCGCTTCGAAAGTTGAGAAAAGTTCAACTTTTGAAGCTTCGACGGAAACGTCAGCCAATCAAATCAAATGCCAGTACGAGCTCTAGCCAATCAAACCGCGTACTTGTGTGTCCGGGGCGGGAGATTAATGTGATTGGTTGTTGGTCGAGCTTCAAACACGCCCGCCGGCAAGCTTCAACGCACGCTGCCATGTTTCTTTTACATAAAGCTCTGTTTTCAGAGAGAAGCTAAAAACAATCTGGTTTATTTCTCTGGATTTCTGGAAGAATACTGCTCTGGTTCTCCTGACTGAACGTGGTGGGAAGTCTAAGGAAAACTGCTGATCCAGATCCCAGAGCTGGAATCTATAGAGAGGGGAAGTCCCTCATCTACTTCCGCCCCATGGACCTTATTTCTGAAAAAGTATGTATTGAAGTCAATGGAGAGAGAAAAAATATCTTTCGATCCGGTTTGAATTGTGCCATGAATTACACATATGATGTTTGTCAATTTAAAAAATAATTTCCATGTCAAAAAAGTCACAGTTTGTCTTAAAACTGTTGAAATATAAGACTATGAAAAATACGCAACTAGAAAGACTACAAATCCCAGAGTCCCGGTCCTGCATTCTGGCTCTGATGAACCAACTAACTCCCCTTGTGTGAATGCACAGCTCTCAACATGCCCAGACTTGGAGTGATTTTCACCTCTTTTAATACTTTCCGCCTCATTCTGAAAGAAAGAAGTGAAATGTGCCAACGTGACGGCCGTCTTGGTGTGTGGTGCGAGACGGGAGATGTAGTTCATTGAGCGGTTTCACACAAAACAAAGTGTTACGAGACATTTTTATTTTTTTGACTTTCAAAATTATCTTTTAAATTGACAAACATCATATGTGTAATTCGTGGCACAATTCAAACGGGATCAAAAGATAATCTCTCTCCATTGACTTCAATACATACTTTTTCCTAAATAAGGTCACATGGAGCTCCCCCGGAAAGGGACTAAATCTAAGACTTTGAGGAAACCTTTGCTTTAGAGCCAGGATGAAGCTTGCATGGACGCACATCTGAGATTTGTTAAATGACGGAGTTTGGCTCGGTTTGTTCCTTTATGGCTGATATATAGACGCAGAGAAAAGCTCCTCTGTTCTGGTTCTTGGTCTCTGCCCTAACCCCTGAGCTACATGTGACTTTGTGTTCATGCACGGAGATCCATCTCTGTGCAGCAAGAAGTGAATGTCAGATAGTGTGGGGGGGGGAATGTTCTGAATAAAGTCCACATTGTGCGTCAGCTGGACACACACACACACACACACACACACACACACACACACACACACACACACACACACACACACA